GGGTAGGTGTGTGTGTAGGCCGGCTATATATAATCAACTATTCAACATTATATATATATATATATATATATATATATATACAGGCCTATATATAATCAACTATTCAACGTTCTTCAGGATATATAATTTATTAATATGAATAATAATTATATAATAAATACCATTACCCGTCTTTATACGTTCATCCTTTATATGTATTAAGATGCCTCAGCAATATTTACTGTATACACACTCGCACAAACACCCCCACCACACACTATAGCCTGTATACAGTATAGGCATATAACTTAGCAAATAAACTACATATATATATATACATACATACATACATATATATATATACATATATATATATAGTATAACATAGAGAGACGTCCACATGCTACATTTATGTATGTCGTGTGTGTTTTAAAAAGTAGCTTGTAATAAACCAATAATTAAAGTTAAAAAATGTACAAAGTCAAGTCGAATTTAATATCGTCTCGCCTTTTTAATAAATAAGTTATTTACAAATTATTTCATTGAAATATACATTCATAGTGTTGACTTAACCTATTAACGTGCCAATATTGCGAATGCAAATTCTAAAGATATATTTTCCCTTGAAAATTACAAACAAAATTATAAAAAAATGTTTGAAATTAACTTGATCATAGAAATTATTGAATTAAAAATGTGTACCTTTATGTGTACCGTTATTTCTATACTGGATGTTGATAAAAATAATAAAAACACATCCAGTGACTGGAAGTGTTTCTATCATTTTTCGCTGTGAAGTTATGGGTAAACATTTTTTAATACACTAGTGTATTATTAATTATAATTATAATTTTATGTTCAAGTTGATAATATTTATGTTTTGAAAAATGTAAAAAAATGATTTTTGATATTTTTTAAAAATATTTTCCATGGGAAAAGTCATCTTTAAATGACTTTTATATGACAATTTCTCAAAAATACTTTATCGACACTAATCTTTACAAATACAATAAAATAAATGCATTGTAATCAAAGTTATTCCTATTCATTTGTATATAGGCTTTCGATAATCTTATTTGATATCAGTGATTTTGAATAATTAAAAAAAAAAGACAATTGTAATACAACTCAATCAAAAACACCATTTGTTTACGTTAATAATTAATAACAAAATGGACATATATAGTAGAGTGTTCAGTTTAGTATTTTGCTTAGGCCTGTGACGAGTCATGTTTACCTCTGCCTATTCTTACCTTCATAACGCAATAGATGGCATAAGACCTATAGCGAAGACACTCGTACAATAATTCATAGCTCGATTGCTAACTAACCGTTTGTAAATTCATATTAAAGATTAAATATAACTTAGGGAATTAATTTTTTATTAATGTCTTAATTTATTATATATTTATATTAACACTGTTTTGAATTACTAACTAAAATACATGTATTCTTTTCAAAGAAATTAACCTCGCCTTATTCATCGAAATGTGTTGCCCTTTAAATATACCCCATTTGTCATACGTCATTTTCCTATCAAATGCATTAGGCTTTCTATTTCATAACCAATAACCGCCATAAAAACTAATAAAAAAGTATGAAAAATTACACATAGCTAGATTGGTTATGCTTTAATTTTAATGTGAAGAATATTGAAGCAATAGACAGTGATATATAACCATCGATGTGGAAAATGATTATTTTTCTCCCAAAGATATTCCTTTGTAAATGAAATAATTACTATTGCTGTGGCCCTTTTCCCGATGATTAATTATAGAAATTTGAATCTCTTCTAATCAGCCATTACAAAATATACATTTTCCAGTTGCTATTGGTACGGCAGTTAAATTGTGATTCGTTGTGCGACTTAAAACTTATCTCCTTGGGAATAGGTACCTACCTGAACTTTATAGTGACGTAATTGGTCACATTTAAATATACTATACTCTGTGTGGGAAAATCCGAAAACTCTGAAAAATCCAATTAAAGCATTGAATTGCTCAATTTTTAAAAATCGTAAAGTTATCATCTTTTAATGAGATAGAGATGGAAACAATTCAGTTTTCGCTTATTTGCAGAGTTTTTACCACAATGCCCATAAACTGATTACCATCCAATTTAAGAATCTATGCAAAGATATAAAATGAACAGTAATATTTGTGCGTCTGCTATCTTTGAGAAAAATATTCTTCGTGTAATTTTCAATTGAAAGCAAAACAGTTATTTAATATACAAAGTACGGTAAACAATACAGATATAATATAGGCATGCCCAGACTATTAAATTAAATGTCTAAATATGGTAATGACGACCGTTCACATCATGACCATATATAGGCATATCATAACTATGTATGGGCATACAACAGTTGTTTTTTCAAAGAAAATTTGATAGTGTGGACCTTATATTCTTTATTATCTCATTTCAGACAGTATAACTTTAAACATATTTAATAATTTCTACAACATATATTAAAAATTGCAACACTTTTGCTAAGATTAGATAAGAGTATTGTCCTTAAAGATGTTCAAAGACGTTATGTACGAGGGTATGTTTCAATTCCTTAATTATATAAAAAGTAAATAATATGAAACCAAAAGGATTTTAAAATGATAAATACTGTGCTTAATGATGTTAGTTAGTTTTGATAGTAACAAGTATCGGGAAGTGTTCACAATATTACAATTGCATAGACCTACAATACATTTCTAAGTATGTAAAGTGCCATCTTGAACCCGATCATTTTTATAAAGTAGGCCTATGATAACAAATTAAATTCTCGGCTCGGCCTAATTGAAAAGAACATTAAAATGTAATAGTGAAACTCAACTATAGGTCCTTTGCAATTACCAAGTCCCATGTACCCAACAATGCATTAAATTACAACTCATATTTAGACAAAAATTATGACAAAAATATTATTTGTCACTGTGAAAAACGTTTAGAATTATTTTTTTTCATTACATCTAATACACACAATCGATAAGTATTTTGACGTTTTAAATTGAGGTGACAAATTCTTTGATTCTTAGTTTAGATTGAACCCAAGTTACGAAGAGTGTTTGAGTACAGTGTAACATGATCATCGACTTGTATTCAAAGTTCGTAGACATACTACATCATTATGATAGGAATATTTAGTGGTCGTGATCTTTAATAACTATGTACATTCACAACCACTTACAACACATTTTGTGGTAACAATGCGAGTTCACATGTATCTACTCGACACTTGTCACATTGCTACCTCGAACTTAATATAATACCCTGATAACTCGACCTGCCTGAGATATATCCCCAATTATCCAAGTCGTCAATGTTTGCAATGTTTTTTTTTTTATTTAATAGGCCTAATTTATTTTTTATCATCTGCAATTTTTAGGCCTATACCGGTTGTTGTTTCTTGGTTGTTGGACGAATTAACAGTTCGTGTGCTTCCTGCAACTGATTTTGTGTTTTTAGTGTTCGGTAAATTGTTGTCCTTTTTCCACTTCATCCTCCTGTTCTGAAACCAAATTTTGATTTGTCTTTCCGAGAGCCCAAGAGCCTGAGCTATTTCAATTCGACGTCTTCTGGTAAGGTAACGATTGAAGTGAAATTCTTTTTCCAGTTCGAGAATTTGTTGACGAGTGTATGAGGTCCGGGAACGCTTGGCTTCGATCCCCGCCAAGCCTGCCATCAATCCTGTCGGGAATACAAAATTAGGAATTCAGTGAGAAATTGCAGCAATGATCTAGATCAACTGTTTTAATTATCAGCAATCATATGCACTATGCCAACAAAGTACGTTCTTTGTTATATCAACAATTATCAAGAAGTGCACAATCGGGAACTGGGTTATTTTTGTCTTGTGTTCAAGTGAAAATATAATGACAGAAATTAGCGTAGCCCACACACAGCAAACCAATTTATTCATCTTTAGTTTTTGCTACGGTATCTTTTATATCTCTTAAACAGATATACAATACAGAAGGTATATATA